ACACACACACACACACACACACACACGCACATTGTTTGGCTGCTGAAAATGGCTTGTAAGAATCAGGGACACAGCTAGGGAACAGGTCATGACAATCATGACCAGCAAGTGAAGCTAGATATGCAACAGCACAGGATACTCATGCAAGACTCAGACTTGGTTTAAGACCCTGGGGTCCTTGTCTTGGGATTCTCTTTTGTGCTGATCCTGGGGCTTGAACTCAGAGCCTGGGTGCTGTTCATGAGCTAGCACTCTACCACTTTGAACCACAGCTCCACTACTAGTTTTAAGTAGTTAATTGGAAATAAGAGGTCTTACAGGTTTTCCTGCCCAAGCTGGCTTTAAACCGTTATCCTCAGATCTCAGCCTCGTGAGTTGTTAGGATTACAGGCGTGAGCCACCAGTGCCAGGCTTTGAAAGTCTTAATAATGTTTGAACCAAGGGGCCTTGTTTTCATTTTGCACTGGATCTTTCAATGAGGTGCTTCAGACCATGAATGATCCTAACCAAAGCAGAGGGGTCTCATTTCAACCAAGTTGCAAACAGACCTTTTCCACTCCCTGACCTAATACTCCACTTTAAGGAACTTTGGTGACATCTTGGTAGTTTGACCATGTGGGAGTACTTATCCCTCAGTATGTCAAGATGCATATTGGCTGTTGATCTGGGCACCCTGTCCAGGCCTGCTGAGTTTCCCTGTAGGAGGGAGAGGCCCAACCCTGGGCCCACAGACATTCCAAGAGAAAATGGTTTTGTAGGTTTGGAAAAGAACCACTTTGCCTCAGATATGGAAAACAGGGTGCAACAGTTTGGGGCCTATACCCTTGGGGACCCAGCCCCAAGGCAGAGCCTCAATCCTGGCAGGAGGTAGGACAGTATACCTCCCTCCACTCTTAGGGGCATTGTGGGTGAGTAGGCAGAGATAAGGGTAGAGAGGGAGAGGGAGGAGGAATCCTAAATAGATACCCTCCTGGTGGTCCAGTCCCAAGCAGGTAGGAGGAGCCCCCCTTCTACCCTCCCCAACTTGGCACAGCAAGGGCCCACTGCCTAGGAGATGGCGCCATCTTCGGGACCCCTGGAGTACTACAGCCTTGGCTGCTCAATACTTGGCCTTCCCTTGCTGGACCCCACACACCAGTCACTGTCTGCCTCTTAGCTCCTTGGTTTGGGAAATGCCAGGCTTGAGTTAACCCTTCAGTTCTCTGAACCCAAATCTCAGCATCCTGAGTAGTTAGGATTATAAACTTGACTTACCCGTGCTTAGCCAAGCATTGGCATTTTCTTTTTAAAAATTAGGTTTTCTTTTTGTTTTCCCTTTAGTTGTGGGGTTTGAATTCTGGGCCTGGTCACTGTCCCTCAGCTCTTCAGCTCTTCAGTGAGCACTCTACCACTTGAGCCACAGCACCACTTACAGTTTTCTGGTGGTTAATTGGACACTTTCCTGCCATGGCTGTCTTTTCTGTGATTCTCAGATCTCAGCCTCCTGAGTAGCTAGGATTGTAAGTGTGAGCCACCAGTGCCCAGCTTATCTTAGTTTATAATCACCCTTTAATTATTCTCCCCCATCCCTCCCAACCCAACTTCCTTTCGATTTTCCTACTTCTGTAGGTTGGCATCTTCTAAAAGGGAAACTGTTGTGCTTCTGTGAACCTGCCTCTCTCCCCACCATGGTGGAAGGGAAGCACTGAACAGGGGAGGCTGGATTGTTATGGCTCCCCTACTCACAATTCTGTAACCTTGGCAAATGACCATAGCCTGCTGAGCCTGACTTGCTCAGCTGCAAACTGGGGCAACGATAGTTCTGTCCTGAAGTAGGTCATGGGTATGTTAAATCAAATGCCTGTTCTTAGGAAATGTTCCCTTCTTGCTCGCTGAACTTTTGCTGTTGTTGTTGTTGGTTGTGGGGCTAGAACTCTGGGCCTGGGCACTGTCCCTCAGCTCTTCAGCTCAAGGCCACTTGAGCACACAGTATCACTTCTGGTTTTCTGGTGGTTTATTGGAGATAAGAGTCTCATTGGGGGCCGGGCGCTGGTGGCTCACGCCTGTAATCCTAGCTACTCAGGAGGCTGAGATCTGAGGATCTCGGTTCAAAGCCAGCCAGGGCAGGAGAGACTGAGACTCCTATCTCCAATAAACCACCAGAAAACCGGAAGTGGCGCTGTAGCTCAAGTGGTAGAGCGCTCGCCTTGAGCTGAAGAAGAGCTGAGGGACAATGCCCAGGCCCAGAGTTCAAGCCCCATGGCTGACAAACAAAAAACAAGAGTCTCATTGGGGCTGGGAAGGTGGCTCAGTGGTAGAGTGCTTGCCTTGCATGCATGAGGCCCTGGGTTCAGCTCTTTAGCACCACATAAGCAGAAAAAATATAAAGTTTCATGGACTTTCCTGCCCGGCTGGCTTTGAAGAACTGTGATCCTCAGATCTCAGCCTCTTGAGTAGCTAGTGCCTGGCATGGCTAAACTTGGGGTTTGGAGTTTTTTGTTCTTTTTTAACCAATCCTGAGGCTTGAACTCAGGGCCTGAGAACTGTCCCTGAGATTCTTTTGCTCAAGGCTAGCACTCTACCACTTGAGTCACAGCACCACTTCTGCCTTTTTCTGCTTATGTGGTGCTGAGGAATTGAACCCAGGGCCTCATGCATGCAAGGCAAGCGCTCTACCACTGAGCCACCTTCCCAGCCCTCACTGAACTTTTTTTTTTTGGTCAGTCATTGGGGCTTGAATTCTGGGCTTCGGCGCTGTTGCTGCGCTCGTCAGCTAAAGTGAACACTCTATACACTGTGGCTTGAGCCACAGCTCCACTTCTGGTTTTTTTTAGTGGTTTATTGGAGATCGTGCCCAGGCTGACTTTGAACTGCGATCCCCAGATCTTAGCCTCCTAAGTAGCTAGGGTTACAGGTGTGAGCCACCAGTGCCCAGCTCCTCGCTGAACTTTTAAAGCTCTTATTCTTACTAAAAAACTAGAGTTGGGAGACCACTGGGGTGCCAGCAAGGCCAGAACATAGCATAAAAAAGTTGTTTCTATAAAGTGGGCACTGAAGACAAGAAGCCTGGACACGAAGACAGGAACTGCTGATAGTGGCTATGAGCTGGAAGCATACCAATGCCTCCGTTTCTTCAGCTGCAATTCAGTTCATAAACACACGTGGTGTATACTAGCTCTGACATTGTTCAACACAGGCCCAGAAACCAGCCCAGGGGTGCCCCAGGCCTTTGCATGTCTTATGAGTGAGATCTTCCTATCTTTCCCTCTTGAGTCCTCATCACCCCTCTCCCAGGGCTCCATTCTACCAGTCTTCCTGAGCAATCTTCTTTCCAATGGCTTTCACCACACTTGACTACTCATCCCATAACAGAGATAAGAGGAGCTGCCTCTGGGCCTACCAAAGCTGATGGTTGGGTTCCCTCAATAGGTTCAAGGTGAGAAGTCAAAGCAGCAGATAAGAGGACTCTAGGTCTCCCTGGATCTCCTGCACCAAAGAATGCCTGGGCACCCATGCCACCACAGGCAGAGAAGGTAGAGGCCGGCATCAAGCACTGGCACTGGATCTAAGTTGGAAAGAATGGAGATTAACTAGGCCCAATCTCTACTCAAGTCATGAATTTTCAGATCACTGTCATTGAGTCCCAATCCTGAGTGCAACAGCCTGGGGAAGAACCACAAGGGTGAGAAATGGGCCATGAGTTGCTCTACATGGACAGGACCTCTGAAGCCTTCTAGCTTTATAAATGGGAAAATAAGACCTTTCCTGCCCCAGATATCCAGCAACGACAGTGTCCCATTGTAAACTCAGATAGGGTTTAATCTTGAGGTTCTGGGAGGAACTGCAGATGACCTACATGGCTGTCTTCTCAATACTTTGTGTTTGCAGGTACAATCAGGGATGAACATATGGAGATCTACTTGGCTGAAGGACAGGGTCCAAGACACCCCTCAGGCTATCCAGGGGACAAGAGTAAAGTGGAAAGATGAAAGGGCTTGTCAGTCACATGGTGACTAAGGAAATGAGAAACAAGCACTCGTGTCCTTGTTCTTAGGCACTGCCTTAAACCTCCTCCCTGTGCTGGGCCTGGGACCTTGTCCAGTGGTAGTACCATGATTTCTGACAGTGGCATGGGCACTGACAAAAAGGAAGGGAAGACCCTGGACAGCACAACAATCAACTCACCTGAACTGGACCTAGAAGGCAGTATCCCCAAGCAAGATCTACAGTACAGAGGTTTCCAGTAAGGCAGGCTCTGTTCTTCGTTGAGACTGTCGATGTATGTGATATAAGTCTTCCATGTATCCCCAGACACCACCAGACCCTGCTGGCCAGGACAGCGCCAGCCTCCAAGTCAAATGACAGATTGATTAAACACAACGGCAAAGTATGAAAATTAATCGAGATATTTAATAGACAGTGCAAACCATAATTTCATCTGAATATAAATGTATGCACATGTTTCCAATGAGTTATCTATCAGTTATCACAAACAGCAACAAGGACCTTAGAGCTATGTTAGAAAACTGTATAGCTGGAATTTCATTCTAACAATCTCACTTGCTCTCTAGAGAACACATCCATTTCAAATCAGTGTCACAAACACCAAAAGACAAGGTGGGGGGTGGTTGAAGAGGGCCAGAGTGGAAGACACAGAGGGCCAGTACACAGATGACAGAAACACAGCTCTGGAGGAAACCAAGACGCATTGTTACAGCTAAGGACAAGGAAAAGCCTATGGCTTTTAAAAAACGACTTTTCTGCCAGTACCATACAAGTCTTACAAAGAGATGTGCGACAAGTCAGCTGACTTAAAGGACAGAGGTTACATCTTCAGACCAGCTCTACTGCCAACGGTCAACCCTTTCCATTGAGGAGTCAGCAGTGGAGTTAGCATAGTCCAGAAGCTCAATGTTGGATTTGCAAATACGGTTTATTTTACAGAAATTCAACATTATAAACAGCAGGCACCTCCCACCCGCCCTCCCGCCCCGCCCCCCACCCGCCCCGCTGGGCGCAGACCATGCTATGCGAGTGAGCGGTGATGCTGCCTACTGCTTTGGAGTGAGAGTGGAGTGATGGAGGCTGCTTGCCCCTTGCAGCGTCCTGCCTGCCCTGAGCACGCACACGCACACGCACACGCCTGCCCACCACGCAGGCCACCAGAGTCTGTCTGGGCCCAGTCTGTGCTGACCCGGTTACATGGATCCGGCCCAGTTCTCTAATTCCTTCATGTCGTCGTCTTCCTCTTCCTTCTTCTTGGCTGTGTGAAGACAGAAAAGGCAACTGAGGCGCGTGGGCTGGGGGGTTAGGGGGGTTTGTGCCAGGACGATGCTCAAGGTGTGGACAGAGTCCTCTCCACAGCCAGCCTCAGGCTATCAGTACGCTGGCTCCTCTGGGGCCTAAAAGGCACACACACACACACACACCACACACAGACACACACCCCCCGCAGCTCCTCCTCTGGGGCCTAGACACACCCACACACCCACACCCACACCCACCCACACCCACACCC